GGTTGTTTTAAGGGCATTATCGGACATGCTCTATTCTAGCCATTCTAAAGCAGCCAGAGGGTGGATTCTAAATGAGCGAAAAAGCAGAGACAGGAGCAATTGTCAAACTTTTGGTGTCGATCATTCGATTTCATCCTGGACACTACAGAAAATGGGCTTAAAGTGTAAAAAACCGAACTTCTCCTTTAAAGCAAACTAATGTGATAAACTGGCCAAGTTTGTGCTTTTTGAATAAGAAAAAAATCTTTTCTGTTTTATAAAGTGTGCCAAAACATATACCAAAGGAATGCTGAAGATGGACCTTACACTCTATTTTTGTCAAACTATAACCAGTCAAAGCTTTTCTTTCCCATCACATTTGTGGGTTTTAAACAAATCACTCAATAAAATATAAAACTGCCCAGAGACACATTTTTTCTATATTTGATTTTCACTGGGATTCCACTGGAAGCAGTTTATCAATATTGTGTATAAACTATTCCATGATAGGAAGCATTTTACCTTCATTGGCAAAACTATAGATTAACAGACGCATGAAGAGAAGAGAATGCTTTTTTAATGTGCTGTATGTCTATGATGATTCATATTTATCTGCTTATCTTTTCTTTTATGTTCCTCAAGGTGCTGTACCTGATTTTTACCATTGTGCTCTTCTTCTGGGCGTGTTTCCTGCCTTTTTGGATCTGGCAGTTGCTTGACCAATTCTGTTCCTCATTGTCCCTCTCCTCCAAAGTCAAACGAAACATCAACTACCTGACCACATGCCTCACGTTCTCCAACAGCTGCATCAACCCGTTCCTTTACACGCTGCTCACCAAAAACTATAAAGAGTACCTCAGGAAACACAAGAGGTCCTGGACTGCCGGAAGCTACTTTAATAGACGAAGTCGTTTTCAGCGATCGCCCCGAAGGTCGCCATCTGCCAGCAGTCAGCAGTGCACCGAGAGCTTCATGCTTACACATACAGCTTCACTGCGAGCTCATAACAGCAGCTTGTAAGGTAGGGGGAGCTTTTTTTGGCCTGAATTTGAGAAAAGTGTGGATGTTTCCCTTTTTAACATTGATTTATTTTAACAATTAAACTTGTTAAACTGGCTGCAACGTGAAGGCTTTGGTCCTGCGGCTTGTTCTCTTTCTCTGTTTTCACATCCATGTGTACAAGGGATATTTATTTTTAGGATTCTGAAAACATTTATGTTTATGTTTTTTCATTTTCTTTATATGCTGTCTAAACATGTCAGCAAGGTTTTGACAACAAGGGTTCTTTTATGTTAATTTGAAGTTCAATTTGATGGAAATTCATGTCAAGGGATATAATCCTAACTATCAAAATAAGACAAAAACATTTGAAATCATTATATTACATATTTCAAATGGAGTTATATTTCATCTTAATTTATTCATTATTTTGTTAAACCAAAAAAAGTCTTCCATCTTCTGCTAATCATCAAAAATGTACCAAAATTAACTAAACCCTACGTGAGAAAAATTATTTCCAGTTTCAGTGAGTCAGGATTTGAAATGTTAAACTCCACTTGACATATTAAGTCCTGACAATTTTTAAACCTGTACAATTAAAAATAAATAAACAATTTTATGGTGAACCTGTTTTTGAGCAGGAAGCAGGCTAAAAGAACTCCAAAATTAAACAATTTCACAAATATGCAATGACAAATTCATCTGCAAAGGTCTACAGAGCAATTTCCATGGTAACATGGTAAGCTACTGCACATTTTAGCCAAAGCTGCCCTGGGCCCACTGACAGAAAAAAAAGCTGCTGCACAGTGCAAACACCTGACCCTCTGACCATCGATAATAGGTGATATTGGTGAAGTGTCTTATCCAAAGAAATGAAGCCAGAAATGAACAGAAACAGGGGTGAATCTGACAGCCTCTAATTGCAGGAGGAACTCCTGCACTGCTACCTCTATGGCTTTGACACCCTGCAACAATCTGCTGACAGCCATTATAGATATTGCACATCACATGAACCTGTAATCAACCTTCCTGAGTCGACAGCCTACCAAAACTACTCCAAAATGGTAAACATAACACACTCAGGAGGTCACCAAACATGAAGAACAACATCTAAAGCAGTGTAGGCATCACCTCTGTTAGGCTCAGAGTTCATCATTCAACAAGAGGAAAGACACCGAGCAAACGCTGGTTTAGGGCCAACCTGTCACTGGCCAAGAGGAATTTGAAGGTGCATCTTATATTTCCACAATGCTTTGATTTTCTTTGAGGCATTTAGGGATATATTCTCTAGACTAGTGAGGCAGAAGACTTGATATACTGTAGTATTTTGGAAACTGTGCTTTACATTATACGTGTTATGAAACTATTAAAAGATTTAAGATTGTTGATTGTTATGGTTTGATGGCCTCGGCCCTTGCAAGGCCATGATTGCTGCTTTCAAGTAGAAAATACTGAAGGGGGGGTGCATTTGCAACAGTACATTATTTTAATTGATAGCTAACTCTAATCCACACTAGCAAGTCCAGCTCCGATAGCAAAAATAAAAAATAAAATGAAATTATGCAGTGGCTTTGTGAAAGTCTAGAGTTAAATTTGACGAAACTGCTGTGCCTTGATCTTCAACAACATGTTGTAGATAAAAAGTGATGTGCAGGGTAAATGACAGGTTGCGGACAGTTTATCACATGACCAAAACCCCCCAAAAAATGAAGTTAAGCCTACAAATTTACTTTGGTAGCTTTAGAAGTGTAAGGTAACCTGTATACTACAGTTTCTCAAGAATAAGGGTTAAGGGTAAGGGATGGGTAAGTGGGAGATTTTGGATTCACAGCTCATGTAAACATTTTGCTACAGCATGACATGAACCCTGGGTGTCAGCTACTGATGAGAGGGTTATCCCCATCGCATCAGTATCTGAAAGGCAGCGGACTTCACCAAGCTTCAATATGTGATGAGTTGGGAGCAAAACTGTACTGGTTTAAAAGGCTCAACATTAGTCACCATAAACACTTTGTGGCCAATAAAGGTGTCAGTATCACTTTAAGGTTTAGTGGGTAATACTTTTTTAATACAAGCTCAGGTTGGTTTATATCCACCGTTTTTTGTTTTTTTTTCCCCCGATACATGATATCATAGTTTAAAAAAGCATTTTTTGTATACAACTGGGTTATCTGTATGAGATCTTAACAATTGTTTGATGATCTGGGACATTTAGGATTTAAACAGAAAGGAAAACAATAAAAGGAAATAGTGGGCTTTTTTAAGGTGTGAAAAAACTTTTAGGCAACAAATGATCTCAAATTGAATGTCGGCTTCCACTAAGGTAAACACATTCCTTTTGATTTAGACAGATTTTATTTGTCATTTTGTTTTTTGGTTTTAAAGGGAAAAAAAAAAAGAAATTTCAGTTAGAAAAAAATTCAATTTTAAAAGTGCAGCCTTGAAAAATTGTAAAAATGACTCTAAATTTACAGTTCTAACGTTTCTTTTTTCTTTTGTGGTTATACTTTTCTTAAAAATATTGTGGGTTTCTACATTTACCCCCAAACATTTATATTTTATGTTCTAATTCAGCAGTTGGGAAGTCAATCTTTGTAAGCTTTTGTTTGTTGTTTTTGGTATAGATTTTAGCACCTGGTGGAGCTTTCTGGCTTAAACCATAAGTTGTTTTTTTTTCCTGTTTCAAGCAGAATGGTCCCCTAAGTCTCAGGTATTTGTTACCTTTAGCAGGTTATATGTCAGGATTGCAGTGCATTTACAGCTCCACACACCTTTTGACCAGCTCCCCTGTGCCTGCTGTGGATCAATGTCCTCACAGTAGAAACTTCCCCATGACTTCTTTTGGCTTTCTTATGAGACTCTTCTAAAATAGCCAAATGTTTTCATTGTGTGTCAAATCATTAATAAAGTTCTCCCACCTGGCTGTGAGACCTACAGTTCTACCTGGTCTTGTAAGTTTAGGTGGATGGCCATGTCTCTGTAGTAAACAGTTGTAATTTCCTGTTGGCTCTATAGAAGATCTTCAATTTCCAATCAGTGATGTCATAGTGGCTGGCCTTGTTGTGTTAATAAGAGTGTGTCTGATTACAGGTTCAGCATTTTGGAATTTTAATACAGCGTTATCGTTCTATTGAATCACAATTAAAATCTCAATAAAAAATCAGATATTTTGTGATTGTAATTTGTCAAAATATAAGATGAAAATATAAAAGGATAGCACACCTTTTGGAAGGCACTATAGCTTTAACATGCAGTAGAAACAAAAAGCAAATGTACTTCTCATGTGGTACATTGGAATGACAAAAAAAATAGATTAGATAAAATGTGTTCTCGGGCCCTTTTGGACATTGAGTTGTTATTATTTTTCTTTTGTCATCTCTTCTCTTTAAGTGTTGAGTTTTTAAATACATGTGCTTTCTTTCAGAAGATAAATGCTGATCCAGCTATACCATACAATCTTATTTTATTGGTAGAAAGTTTAAAGTTTTCTGGTCATTTCATTAAGTCACTACAAAAAAATCTTACAAACTTGAATATGTTTTTAAGACTTTTCTCTAAGACATATAGTTTATTATCCTTGAACAGATAGATAATTCTTCCAAATATTCTAAAAATGTTAGGGTCTTTGAACCGCTCGATCTATGGCAACTTAAATGCTTTCTAACTGTAGTTTTAAAACATGGTTACAAAACAATGATACAATAAAAATCCATTTTCTTCCTGGCGGTGGCAGAGCCACTACATTTTCATTGGGGTGCTTAGGCAGAGACCAATGTGCACTGACAGGTGGCGGAACATTGATAGGCAGCACAACAAGTTCAGGTTCCATCCATACTAATCAACTGAATCAACAGGAAAATGACAAAACAATACATCTTTATTGTAAAAATAACTCATCAAAGATTTCATTAAAGCCCTTTTTTTGCAACGTTAACAAATATTGCCCACCCCAGTAGGGGTGGTCAATATGTAATTCAATCAGATGATATTTGGACTGTCATATATTGTTTATGAACACACACTCAACAAATTAAAGTGTGAATTGAACACAAATCATGGTGAAACAGATAATTCTGCATATATATGAAATAAATTCACCACAAGTTCCGCTAAAAATATAAGAGTTTATTGACGAAAAGTCAAACAAATTTCAGTTAAAAACTCCTGACTAAAACTAGTGAAACTTAATTAAACAAAGCTACTATATAAATAAAAAAAGGAAAAACATGGTGTTACTCCTCTCGAGATAATAAAGGCTCAATGTTGTTCTTTTGGTTTTAACAGCCATTTATTGTGGACACGTCTTATAAAGCCCCAAAAAATGCTGTCAGAACTAAGAAGGGAAACAGAAACCCAAATTAGCTCAAAACAAATATAAAGCTTTACACAAATAAACATAAGTAAAACAAAGTCGTACCTCATTGGCAGCATAAATTCCAGAGGAATAAAAAAAACTAATACAGCTTTTCTCAGAAAACCAGTCTTAAATCTTTCTGGTGAAACTTCTTGAAAAAACAGGTGCAAAAAAGAATTGTGTCAATCAATCTTTCCCATGGGCAACAACGTGACATGCGGAACAAAAAACATAGGTTCCTCCTTACATTTTAACGAGCTTTTTAACCAATCCACATAAACATAAATTTACTGAAAGTTATTTATTTATTTATGATTAAACTTTTTATTTTAATACTATGATCTATTAACTCTCGTTTTTAACTAAATATTTAAATGAGTTGACTCTGATGGCAGCTACACATGGTTAAAACCCTTAATTTGTAAGATAATGTAATGAGCTAGCATGGATTTCGTATTTGAGAACCAAACTTTTTGCTGAAGAATTTTGGCATTATTTAGCTGAAAAATGTTTTGTTGAAATGATTTGCATTATCATAGCTTTAAAGAAGGTGGAAAATTCAATCATAAAATGCTTGATATCAAATGGATTATGTCTATTCAGTTACATGTATCCACATATACACCATTTCGGTATATATGGTGGTACAAGAGAGCCACAATGTATTT